ATCAAATATAATATATTGTTTATTAAATAATTTAAATAATTTGATCAAATTAGGTTAGATTAGGTCAGGTTAGATCAAATGAAAATTTAAATCAGATTGGATTTTTGTTAAACCTGACCTGGTCCTTTCAGTTTAGGTAACTTGATTGACTTGACCTGAACTGACCTGTTTAAAGCTTTAGGCTGGCCTGTAATAGGCAAGTAATGCATCATCTGTAAGGAGGTCAACTCTGATAACAAAACATGAGTGATCAATAGTAAATACTGTATAACTTGAATTAAACAAGAGTTGTGAGTTATAGGTAGCTTCTAGTTGAAGCATTATGACATCTATGAGTCAATTAGAATTTATGAAGTCTGAGTTCAATTCTCAAGATGATTTTGACAGTTTAAATGTATCAACTGTATCAGATAGCTATTATGAATTAGATTGGTAAAGACTTTTCTTTTCAGTAATTAACAGAATCCTTCATACTGACTGCATTAGAAGTTAGTCATATGACGTCTAGGATGCATAGCTTGTCATGAAGGCATGAGTTTTAGCAGTTCAGACTGGTTTAAAAAATAGCAAAGAGAAGCTTCTTTCTGGATATGATGATATATTAGATATAAGAGGCATAGTCATAATATTCAGATGACTGATCACTAGAACTTAAGTAAAAAAAAATATTTTCATAAATAGGATTGGTATACTTAACTTATGCTACAAAATATGAGTCTCTATTGTAGGTTATACTGCAATAGATTCTAGTTCAGTACTTACCAAGTATAGATTGCAGTATTAATTTACTATAAGATTTACCAGTTCAATTCTAGAAATGAATTTCATAGAATATGCACAAATTATGTATATTAAAAATCATAAACTTATAGAATATAGTGAACCTGTGTAATTATGCAAGTGATTACATTATACAGAAATGATTGAGTTCAAATTTGTATTAATTGACTGGCAAGTGCTGCATTATCTATAAGGGGTTATCCTGATAATAGGATATAATAGATCAATGGTAGATGTTTTATAACTTGAATTGAACAAAAGTTATGAGTTATAGATAGTTTCTAATTGAAATACTATAGCATTTATGAGTCAATTAGGGTTTAAAAGGCATACATTTAATTTTCAGAGTGATTTTAACAGTTTGAGTATATCAACTATATCAGACAGCTATTCTGAATTAGGTTGGTAAAGACTTCTCTTTTCAGTAATTGGTCAGAATTTATCTTATTGATAGCATCAGTGTTAGCTATGCGACATTTAGAATGCATAGCTTGTCATGAAGGTTAGTATTTTAGCAGTTTAGACTAGCTTGAAATATAGTAAGAAGGGTTTATTTCTGAATACAAACATATAAGTCACACAGTCAGGATATTCGAGCAACTGATTGCTAGAACTAAAGTAAAAAATAAAATGGGATCTTTGCAATAGAAAGGGAGGAAACTCCAAAAAAATTAAAATTTTAGTTTATAAGCCAAAAATGTTCTAAATACTATAATTTGTTCAGATTTATTATTAACTCATTTTTTATTTTTTTTTGAGTTTCCTCCCTTTCTATTACAAAGGCCTCAAATATATTTATAAATGCATAATTCTTTTTCATTATTTTGTAAATTGATACTATTAAGTTTATCTTTTAAGACTAAATAAAAATGACATAGGTTATTTGAATTATATGTGAGATAAAACATCAAAATTTTAGACCAATCTGAAATTACAACTGAAATTTGAGGAAAGAACCAAAAATATTTCATCATGTATTATTAAATTAATACCATTATTTAATGTTAAGATGGAAGCTAAAAGTCCTTTTAAGAAGTTATGAAAAGCTTTTTGTACTGCTCTTTTAAATTTATCAGATTTTTTATCAGAATTATTGCTTACTGACAAAATTGGTAAATATCTTAACAATTGTTTTACATCAGGTTTATTACATCGCTAGTTTTTAATATTATCAATAGTTATATATATAGATGTAGTTGACTTTTACCTAATGTATCTACATTAATTGCATTAGAATATAATATCAAGGATAAAAGTTTTGTACTAGTTGGTAAATATTCTTCAATATTTTTTTACCACATTCTGATATTTTGTTTGCTATATATTCTTTCTCTATTGATCTTTAAGATTGATATTAATATGATAATATATATAAATATAAAATTGCATAAATTTAAAAATCTCAAGAGTTTCAAAATTTAACGTTAAGTTTTTTATTATATTAGAAATAATTAGAATAATTTTTATGCAATTTAAAAAATTACAATAATAAAAATAATATTCAATATTATTATAAATTATTATGTAAGTCTTTTTATAAACTAAATTTTAGTTGATTCATATTATCTATATATTGTCATCTTTGTTCAGTTGATTTAGGTAATAGAGATTTAGTAAGATTTGCATGCTTATTAAAAAAATGGATTATTTAATTTTTTGCTTTATTACTTAATTTATTTTTAATTATTAATGTCATAAAAGCTTCATATACTTTATTAGGTAATTTACATTTATTTTAAATTCAACTTCTAAAATATCTTGATTTATTATTGAATTTTCAAATATAAAATTTTCTGAATTTCCGCTATAATTACTTAAAAGTAATAATTCTTCAACAGGTGGAGGAAGATCTTCATGCAAACTTTTATAATGCATCTAAAATAAATTATATTTAAAAATATTTCAAAAAGTCAAAAATCTTTATTTATAATATATACTTCAATAGAATTAATAGAATTAAAAATCTTTTTGCTTTTTAATAAAACATCATTAATATATATAATAGAATCATCATCACTTTCATCACTGTTAGATGGATTGCAAACATTAATATACTGGCTATATCCTGAATGACTACTAAATGTTTACTTACAAAATGAATATTTATAATTAACTATTTGTTATTTTATATATTTATATTTGATCCATTCAAAGAGATATTGAAGTCTATTTATAATAACTTTTTGACAATTTTTACCAAATGGCTTATATTTATTGATAACTTCACATTTAAATTTTTAAGCCATACCACTCAACGATTCTATGAAAATTTATTATATTAAAAAAGAATGCTTAGAAATTGTAATAGGATTTGCAGATACATATCTTTTCTACAGCAAATCACTTTTCTAAAATATTGTATAAAAAATATATAAAAATAAAATAAAAAATAAAATAAAATAAAATAATGTTAATGTGTAATTCTTACAAACTACGACTGTTAGACAGGATTTTTGAGCAATTTATTCTTTTTAATTACATAGTATTCTTTTAATAGTTTGCAAGTTTTAATTCAGACGGTTTATCAAAAGTGTTTAGACTATTACAATGATCAGTGATTCAACAGATTGCCAGTAGTTATATTTGTAAAATGATGTGTTTATTCATAAGTAAAATAATAAAATAAAAAAAAAGAATAAAAGAAAATAAAATAAGAAAAGAAAAGAAATGAATTACTGAAACTAAAATGTAATGCAGTAGGCCAGTTACCTCTGAAACTACTAAAACTAACTTATCAAGTTTCTATCTGTCTCTCTTCTTTTTACATGAACTAAAAAGCCATCTATTTATATAAAATAAATTACATATAAAGATATAACTAACATTTCTACTTTATCAACTATGTCTAATATGTTAACTATATCTAATATGTCGACTATATCTAATATGTCAGTTATGTCACATATGTCTGACATATCACATATATCACTTATGTCAAATTAGTCGATCTTCTATGCTACATAAGCTGCATCACATTTACCTGTTCAGAATAACATAAAAATAAAATAAATAAAATAAAATATAATAAAATAAAGAAATAAAAAATACAAATTAACTACTCAAGCTGCATCTGCTGTGTATATTGTGTAATAGCAATACTACTATCTGAAACCTCCATAATTTCTTCTACTACAAATTGTTTTCAAAAATAAGCATTTTTCTCAACTTCTTCATTATCTTCCTTATTAGATTCGAGCTTAAATCCTATATTACTCTTAATCCTTTGCTACAGAATGAAAAAATTTTAATATTATTTATATAATATTACATAATATTACTTAAATCTTTTAATACTTACCTTGTTTCTTCAAATTGATTTTTTCATGTCTGAACTATTTATTTGCAAATTTCTATTTGCCAGATTTAATATCGTTTAATATACACTAATTGTATATATGACTAGTAATTCTGGTATCTTTTTACAGTTTAAAAAAACTTTTGCTAAAATTCAGGACAATTTGTTATTTTCAGCTTAGTCCCTTTTTTAATAAATCATTGTAGCATTTCTTCATAAAATGTAATGCTTTCCAGTAATGAATTTTAGTTGAAGATGCATTAATACTTATTGCAGATAATCGAGATTTTTCATATATGCTGAATAATACTTCTCTAGTTCAAAAAATCAATGACTTGTGAAGACTTCTATATTTATACATCAACTATTTAAAAAATGAATTTATTTCTTAATTTAAAATTTTAAGATGAATAAAGTAAAATTGTTCTAAAATTATCTATTGATATATATTTTATTATAGAAAACAGTCCAGCATTTTTCACTTAATTTATTATAAAAACTTATGTAGTTTTTAGCCAAATATTTCTCTGTAGCCTCGCGAAATTCATCCTTAGTTAGATAAATATTATCAGACAATAAGATTTTTGCCACATTATTCACTATTTTCTAATAAATTAAAACATTAGTAAATAATAAAATTATAATATAAATATATTATAAATAAAAAATTTATTACTCTAGAGAAGTTTTTATCTATATATTTTTCATTCTTCATCCTTTCTAAATGTTCTTCTATCCCCTTTTATGTTTCTAATAATTTATTAATCGTTACCTTCAATTCTGTATTTTATTATATGATCTTGTTCAATAATTTTATTTTTTCATCTCTATCATTTATTTTGATTCCTTAATTAAAAATAATAATAATTTTAATAAAACAAAGAATAAAAAAAATTACTATCAACATATATTGAAAAGTTTCTCCAAATATCTGTTAAATTTGAACTTAATCTTATTCTCTTAGATAGTTTGAACGTTATTGACTTAATATCACATTTTAGCTTAACATCATACTCAGATTCAGATCTCGCATATGTCTTGAAGGTTCTCGATATAGTCAATGATACAGATGCCTCCCACCTTTTATAATCTAAGATCAAATTATTAAATTGATATAGTTTTATTTTAATCTCTTTGAGATATTTTAAAACTAAAGATTAATAATAATAAAATAAGTAAAGTTCAAAAGTGTTTGTATAGAGTTTGAGTTTAGTAAAAGAATTTAAAGATTTTATGAATGTTTATGATAGAAATTGAAAATTACTTCACATATTTATATAGATATTTCACAATACAAAATTATATAATACTTTTAATTATAATAATTACTATTTAAAAATATTTCTTAACTTTACATGTTTAATTCCTGCATTATTAAAGATTTATTTTATTATTGTGAAGTTTTACATGATAAATGAAAATAAATTGAAATAATTACATACATACTTATTTGATAAATGTTGCATTATTCTTATTTTTTTCCTTTTTTTATTTGATATGTCCCATCTTTGCATTATTCTTAATGTATTAAATTATTCATGTAAAGTTATAATGAAATTAGCGTATTTTATTCTTAAATCTAAATAGCAATATCTTAAAAAAATAGTATTATTGCATTATTCTTAATGCATTAAATTATTTAAGTAATGTCACATGATGAACATAAGCGTATTTATTCTTTTTTTTTGATTAGTTCTAGTGATCAGTCGCCTGAGACTTGTATATCCTATATGCTATTATATCTAAAAATAAGTACCTTAAGCGTATTTTATTCTTAAAAAAATATTATAATTTCGTAGGTATGTGTAATATAAATAAATATGTTTCCTGCTTACATGACAAAATAATTCTCACATAAAAGCTCTAAATTTTTTTTGTATTTTCGTAACTTATAAAACTTTTTGAGTAAGTGAAATAAAATCCAAATCTGCATAATTTTCAATGCCTTTATAAATCATACCCTTATTCTCAAATAGAAAATTTTGACGTTAGCATACATTGCATAGTCTTCTATTAGCCTCTAATATCTTGAGAAAATATAAATTATAAGATATATAAAAGGGTAGTATAATGAAAATTAGGATATTTATTACTTTATAGTAATTTATTTTGTTTTATGTGATATATACTATTAACATTTTATTATGTCTTCTTCTAAAATATACAACAAAATTCGTGATTTTTTGCATAGTTCACCTTTAGATTATATTATCACATTTTTTGTTATTTTTCAACTAATTAAATATAACATGTGATATTTAAAGATGATTTGAGATAAATAATTCATGATGTGATTAACAAGATGAAAAACTTTTACCAACAAAGTTCAGGAAATATTTGAAACTTATTGATATTCCTTTAAAGGTTAGTGATTATTATTTTATTAGATTTATATTTTCAAATAATGATTGCATAGAAAGATATCCTATAATCAAACTAAGTGAGTATCTATAACTATGTAAACATAGGTTTAAATTAATTGCATTAATTTCTTAAACATACTAGAACTTAGTTCTGATTTGTAAAGAAAAAATATACTATTCATGTATATTATCAGTTGTATACAGGCTATATATGATTGATAATTTACATAAAATATTCAGATAAGAGCGTGCGTATATTTTCTATTATCATAAATTTTAATATAAATACTAATATAAGGTTTCTATACTAATTTGATAATATATATTAAGGTATAAGTAGTCTTTAAAATATTCAAGAATCAAAACAAGGATTGCTTTCAAGTAATGAATTGAGACAAACTTGTGCAAATTGAAACTAATCTTAAAAAAAGCAATGCTTCATATGCTTCTTATTTTTGTAAATATTTAAAGAAGAAAGATACTCTAGAATTATTATGGCGTATTCTAATTACTAGTTAAGTGATATATATAGATTCAGAAATGGTGAGTATTTTAGAAGTCGATAATTATAACAATTTTATGATAAGTAATAAAATATGCCTTATTTAGTTGTAAAATTCTTTCAGCAAACTGATATTATATTAATATTTTGATGTCATAGAAACCTTTGGAGTATATAAAAGTAACTGCTTCAGCTCTTATCAGAAATATATGTTAAATCTTTATTTTAAATTTCAAGATAGCATTACAAATATTCTAATAAATAGACTTATACACGATAAAAACTAGAAAGAATCTGATAAAAACTAGCAAAAGTTACATCAGATATACTTGATATCTTGTGAGTATTTGATAACAAAACTTATAGGATAATGTAATATTTATATTATTTTTTTAATAAAATTCCATTGTTTAGCAATATTTTTATAGAAGAAATATTTGAAAAAATCTCACTTTTGAAACAAAACTTGTTAAGTCACAAAGTGAAGGAACATATGGGAGGTTTGCTATTAAAATCACGTTACGGATCATATAATTTACTATGTTCGTAAACTCGATTTTAATAGCAAACCTCCCATATATAGCTGATATAATTTTTCTAATAATTCAAACATCATTAAAAGATCTTTTGATTAAAAATCTAGTTATATTTTCATAGCTAAGCGTCAAAATATAATTAGTAAAAATCGAAGAGGAGTTAAAAAATAATCAGATATTATATTCATTATTAGTTTTCATAATAGGACATATGAATTAATTTATGATGAAGTTCCTGTATTATTTATAATAGACAAAAAAAGGAAGATGATCAAGTAAAAACTTGGAAAGAGATGAACAATAGAATGTATTAGGCTTACAAAAAATGCAAACTAGAAAAGGATAATTTTAGTATTATTAGAATCCAAGTTACTAAAAATAAGATGCATCTAAATATCCTAATTCAAGATATAGATGAGATACCATTATCTCTATAATTTACAAACTATTGAAATTTCTATTTAACCAAATGATAAGAGAATGATAATAGTATCATATCTTAAGAATAATAAAATTATCAACCCTAAGAAATGACAATATCATCGTTTCTTAAGTATGATAATACCATTGTACCTAAAGAATGATAAAATCATCATATCTAAAAAACAATAATACCATCATTCTTTAGGTATAATTATACTATCGTCTCTAAGGAATGATAAAACCATTATTCCTTAGGTACGATAAAACTATTATACCTAAAAAATGATAAATGCATTGTTCTTTAGGAATGATAAAACCATCATTTCTTAGGTATGATAATACTATTATCCTTAAAAAATAATAATACCATCATTTCTTAGAAACGATAAATGCATCTTACCTAAGGTATGATAAAACTATTGTTCCTTAGGTATAATAATACCATCATTTCTAAGGAAAAATAATACCCTATCATTCCAATCAGATGTCAATTGGTTATAAATAAGATAGGTCAAATTTTGATATATACCAATTGGCTATAAGTATGCCAATTGGCTATAAATAAGATAAGTCAAATTTTGGCTGATTTTTGATAATTTGCCGAATTTAGGCTAAATTTAGGCTGATTTTAGGTCGATTTTTGCATATCTGTTTTTTGATTTTGACTAATATTATGCTTTATATAATCACTTTGAAGTATTGTAGGGATGTGGCTAGTCATAATGCTGCACAATATTATTATATTTTCTCTTTCATTAAATTTGAGATGATAATATTGCAGCAGTACAAGGATTGAGTACTTTTCTCAGTAAATTTTTAGCTAAAGAAAAAAATAAGAACGATTATTAGTGGAATATACTAAATAAATTCAAAATATGCTAAATTAGATAAGAAAATAATGAACTTCAGCTGATTGCCAAGAATAATCATAAATAGTAATAATGGATCTTTAATGATTTTCTTCATCCATTTTGCTGATTTCTAGCAAATGGTATAAGC